TCCCCCACACACACACACACACACACACACACACACACACACACACACACACACACACACACACACACACACACCAGGTTTTCCACCCCCTAAAACACCTGACATTAACTTTTTATTGTTTGCATCATGTTAACTGATATTTGAAAGCTAATATGTGATTCATTCTATATTGCAAAGCCCTCTTTTAATGAAGGTATGTGAAAAGGCAGAACGTATGGTTTTCTGCTATAAAGAAAGCCTCAAGAAAAAGCCTTGACAGGACAAAAGGTCGGTTGCTGTGCATTTGTACCTCACAATGGATATTTAACAAAAACACATAACAAGTGGTTTTGCTGTGCAAAGCAGATCACAAGTACAAAAATCAACAACCAGTGATTCTCAGTATTGTTACAAGGCCAGGGTAAGCCAGGAGGCTCTAAAAGAGCATGCTCCAATCCCTTCCACCTTACTTCAATAGAAAGGTCCCTTATGATACCAATTACCTCAGTAAAATACTGCTAAGATTTCAGGAAACAAAGACAATGCCAACAAAAAACTTACCATTGATGTCAAAAGGGAACAAGCTGCCACTTTTGTTCAGTTTCTCAGATGAGTACTGCAATTAATCAGAAAAAAAATTCATCATACAACTTATACATGGTGTGAAAAGCAGTAAACACAAGCCTTAATGAAAGCTTAAATACTGTAGTTCCATATATATATAAAATTAATGGAATAACCATTTGTCTGGTTCAAAGTCTTCAGAAAAAGCAGCTATATTTTTCAATCTAAGTTACTAGTAATAAAAAAATAAGTTTTTAATGTTCACCCCATACTATAGAAAAATCCAAAATATCTTTCCAAGTCTTCAAATATTTCTTAGGTTGCAATATAAACCTAAATAATTCAAACGTTGAGTGAACATATCCTTAACTCCGGAGCTTTGCAAACATACCTAAAGTTAAATCAAAACATCAGAGAAATTGAAATGTAAAAAGTAATGGGCAACCTAGTCTACTGAGTAGGCCCCACGAGTGACCCTCCACCTTTGTTGTAACCTGCCCAGCCTCCCAGGACAGGGTATTTTTTTGCTAAGTGCACTTGTATACATAGAATGTGTGAGGTGTGCAAACAAACATAGCAGCACTTGAATACAGAGAGATACATGAATACATGGCTCTCACAGTTAGTGTTGAGTGAGTTACCTGGTGACTGCATACAACTTACTTAACATGCCGTTGCTTTAAGTCTGTGTCACTTTAGTAATACCGGCGTGAAAAAAAAAAAACTATGTGGATGGGCAAGAGTAAGCAGCGTCTCATGGCCGAAATTTGCGGGGCCCAAGGCGGCATGTTATGGCTGGCTGCACTGCATGGCCTGGCAGCTCTCTGCCAGGGCAGCAAGTGAGCAGCTGCGCATGTGCCAGGCAGCATGGAGCCCTAGGCAACCACCTTGCTCGCCCTGCCCTAAGACCGAGCCTGCTCATAGGCCACACAGAACCCCAATGGGTTACATATGGCTCTTGGGCCACAGGTTGCCCACAACTGAGCTGCTGTCTGTTCTGGGTTTTTTTTTGTTATTATAATACTGCAAATTCAACACACCTGAACAGCTTTACTAACGCCATTACTGTCTTTTAGGTAAAACAAAAATTTAGACAATACAGTAAAACTCCAACTGTCCGGCATCCAGTGGTCCAGCACTCCTGGTGGTCTGGCACCAACTGGAACCCGGAAGTGCTCTGGCCAGCCAGACAATTGGAGCTGCTCTGCCCCCAGCTTCCCCCAAGTCAGTCTCTGCTGAAACTGACCAGCGGCTGACTTGGGGAAGCCGGGGCAGAACAGCTGGGGTGCTGTCGGGTTGGTCCCGCAGCGCCGCCGTCTCCCACGCTCCGAAGCTGCCCGCCGACCCCTCCCTGCCACCCAGGACCCCCCTCATAGCCCCCCTTCCGATACTCCGGCATATCTGATAATCCAGCACCCCCTGGGTCCTAAAAGTGCCGGATTATCAGAAGTTTACAGTATATAACTAAGGATTGGATATGCCTAGTAGAGCATTTATAGGAGAAAAGTATGTGTTGCCCTTTTAAGAGTATATTTTGCTATGTCTTACTGATCTTTTAGCAGATCTGCTATGGATTTTGCCCTTTCTAAAGAAGATTTTTGACCAAAAAATGTAATGGTTGCAGTAGTTTTTCATAAAATCATTGCAAATATTTGTTAGATACAGTCAACCATGCTACTGTGGCACTCTGCATGCTATAGAGGCCTTAGAAACACATGTCTATTGCATAGTAAGGGGAGTTTGACACGCTTTTTCCCCAATTATCAAACATCTTTAGATTAAAGTGACTAGATTAGTTTCATATGTAGTGTAGCTTGATATCCTGCCTCCTAATAACTTAAAGGCCAAACAAATCATCTTACTAGAACTCAGATTTTTGTACAGTTTTTTCTCTGAGGATGGAGAGGAGGAGGGATTGATTATTTTAAAACATGCCTTTTTAATAACTTTTTTTGGACTCTGTGTTCAATATTAAGCCAAAAAAGATAGTATTGTTCAGACACTTCCTTCCAGATACAAGTTCAGTTTTAAGTAAACATCCTTGGGCAAGGAAGCATTTTTTCTGTTTAGCACTAAAGTGCAACTAGCAGCTTTAAAACCCTGAACTTCAAATTCATAATTCAGAACTTAAGTAGTGCAAGGACAGTTTAAAGAAGTTACCTACTGCACAAAAATGCCTACATGCCTTAGACTTTTTTCTATACTTTTTGCCCTCTTTTTTAATACTTGCAAATGCACTTGGTATTTAATAAACATCTTTCCCCAGAAACAGCAAGATTTTAGAATCCCAGGACTAATTTAGGGTTCAAAGTTTTAGCCTTCACCCTACTAGGGAGTATTATTTCATTCATGTTCATCTTGTAAAACTGATTTTTTTCCTGGTTACACAGTCTATACATAGTACAGTAATACAATCAATCAATCTATACAAAACTAGGAGAAAGGCACTCTTTTGTTCCACTTAGTAAGTTGAGAAAGCAGCGACACCATTATTGTTTTGAGGAGCAAGTGTGAACAGAGTGACAATGTGTGACACATTTAAAGATATTTTCAAACAGGTTATTTAAACATCTTCCCTCCCCTCCAAATGCATATTACAGTATGGACATTTCCAACACACTCACTAGAAACTGACAACTGTGTGCTAAAGAAACGTTACAGAACTAAGTTTTTATACATGCACACATTATAATATTTAATAAAAACTAACATGCTTCATGAATTTCCATCAGCTAAAATTATACCTTGTCTTCTGCTTTATACAAATAATACTATTTCCAGTTTGCCTGGCAGTAGGATTCAACAGAATCTCCCTGAAAAACTAGACAAGATTTAAGGTCTTATTTGAAGAAAAATGTCAATACCTGTGTCCTAACATCATACCTTGAAAAATGACAAGTGGAATGTTCCTTCCATTTATATTTACACACACACACACACACACACACACACACACACACACTTTGCATTTTAGGGCAGATTACAAAGTTTTATTTTGTGATGCACAATGCTATGAAAATTCAAATTTAGATATGGAAACAAATATACTTAAATCTTCAAAAACTGTACATCTTCAACCACAAAATGTAAAGGATTGAGATGTAAGGAAATCTTTAAATAGCTTTTAAAAAAATATTACTAAGTAATCCAAAAAACCTGAATCAATTGGTTTTATATAACACAACTCATACCAATCAGAGGAAGCCATTCTTGTGCTGTTAGTTTTCAGTAGTGGCTCCAGAGCACTATTAGTTTAAGTGCAATGGATCTTTTTTCTAGCTTCTTCAGCATCAAGAAAGCCTTTACAGATTTCCTCCTTTCAGAAGAGAAACCATCTTGATTGGAGATAACCAGAGTTTGAGAGAGGAAAAAAAGATATCCACAGTCATGAGAGAAACTGTTATGAATAATGAATCAAAAAAACAGGTTCTTGTCACTCCCAGACAGGATAAATCTTAGTTCATGATAGAACTCCAAGACCAAGCCCTAGCACTTAGTAAAATGATACAGACCAGTCATCTAACTATCCTCCAAGACCTATGAGGCAATTCCTCTAGCCAAATGTGTCTTAGCACATCTTAGAGGAGTCATGTCCACTGAAGAAACTATACGGTTTAGACAATGATTTGCACTGTTATCTTGGACACAGCCTGAATTATGTTTGTGTCAGTAACATACTGAAATTTAAAAAGGCTCTTATCTAGCTCAGAAAAAACAAGGGTTTTTCCATTTCTAATTTAAGGCTTCAACTAGGATGGACACTGACTGCAAGAGGTAAGATGATTCAGCATGATCGTGGCAGAATGCCACAGATAATCCAAATTACAGATTTTAAATCATGATTCAAGCAGGAAACCTTGATTTAAAATAATCAATTTAAAGTATTTTGTAGTTGCATTTTTTTGGCTGTCTAAAAAAAGTTGATTCTTACTGATTGGTAGTGATTAAAATATGTTGATTTAGAACCAATCATCAAATTTTACACTAAATGTGATGGTTTTTTGGTAACCAGGAGGATAAACCATAGCTATACTAATTTATTTAAGCAATCATACATTTTAACTTACATTTATTCAGATGCTTAACTTTTACTTTGTCGTTTGAAAATGGTGAATGATATGTTCAAGCTCCCTGTACAGCCCTGTCACCTATTTATTATATGATGAACGACTTAAATTTCTGATGTGTCAAAATTCTGGATGGAAATCCACTTAAAATGCACAAGAGTAGCATAAAAAACATGTTTAATAATGCTAATTTAGTAAAGGAAGTATTTATCTGTAGCTAGTAAACTGATTACAGTATGTCAAGATTCTTTTCAACTAAAAAAAAAAGTCTCATTTTTTCCACATATAGGTTTTATTGGCAGATTGAAAGGGGAAACAAATTATCCAGCATTTTCAAATCCCAATTGGTTTCTTAACTTGGGATAAACTAGTCATTGACCTGAACTAGTTGAATGAATTGAAATGAAGAAAATAATCTTCTACACTTGCAGAAGTACAGTAAAACTCCAGTGGTCCGGCATCCAATGGTCCGGCACTCCTGATGGTCCGGCACCATCTGGAACCTGAAAGTGCTCCGGGCAGCCGGACAATTGGAGCTGCTCTGCCCCTGGCTTCCCCGATTCAGCCGCTGCTGCAACTGACCAGCGGCTCACTCAGGCAAGCCGGGGGCAGAGCAGCTGGGGTGCTGCCGGGTTGGTCCAAGGGGTGGCGCTACGGGACCAACACGGCAGCACCCCAGCTACTCTGCCCCAGGCGTCCCAAGTCAGCTGAAACTGACCAGCAGCTGACTCTGGGAAGCCTGGGGCAGAGCATGCGGTGCCCGGGGCTTCCCGGAGTCAGCCTCTGGTCAGTTAGCAGCCGCTGACTTGGGGAAGTCTGAGGCAGAGCAGCTGGGGTGCTGCTGGGTTGGTCCCGCAGCGCCAAGGGGCACATCTCCCCCACTCCACCCCAGACCCCTCATAGCCCCCACTTCCTATAGTCCAGCATATTTGATAATCCGGCACCCCTGGGTCCTAAAGGTGCTGGATTATCAGAAGTTTACTGTATTAACTACTGTGACAAGCTAAATTAACACTTGAATTTCTGTTTATAGGTGCTTACTAGGGATGTTGATATCAGGTAACTGAATACTCGAGTAACTATTAATTCTTATTGGTTACTCAACTATTGTATAGTCACTGGGACGGGGCTGGCAGCCAGTGTGCTTTGGTCCCATAAGGTGCTGGATTATCAGAAGTTTACTGTATTAACTACTGTGACAAGCTAAATTAACACTTGAATTTCTGTTTATAGGTGCTTACTAGGGATGTTGATATCAGGTAACTGAATACTCGAGTAACTATTAATTCTTATTGGTTACTCAACTATTGTATAGTCACTGGGACGGGGCTGGCAGCCAGTGTGCTTTGGTCCCATTCCTTGGAAGGCCCCTGCCCTCCCGGGCAGCCCCCGCCT